CATTACCCATTCAAGCCGTCTCCAGCCATTATTAAAGAGGTCACATGACCGGATACTGTTGCAAAACTTAGAAGAGGTGTCTTGGCATCCCGGGGTATTGGATTAGACTAGGGTTGTTTTGTTCAATTAAGATGGATTCCTTGATTTTTCGTTTGTTTATGTTGGGTTATTTGTTTAAAATGATTGTTTTTAATAGATATACTATGGTTTTTTTACTGTGTTCTGTCAATCTGGTTTCCAATTTTCTTCCCGTTTCTCCGATGTTTAATTCTGGGCAGTTATTGTATGCTGTTTTGTAAATGACGTTGGTATTGTGTGTTGTAACAAGGCAATATGGAATTGTACCCTACGCCATTTCGATCTATTGTAAAAAATAATCTAAAACTCTGGAAATTATCATTGGACATTAACTTCTTAACAACGTCCAATCACAATCAAATCATCCCAAAGTTCCTCTGTTTCAAAACTACAAACCGTTATCTACAGAAGTCTTCTGCCTATTTTTCATACCAACGTAGTCTTTTCGGAAAAAACTGAAATGAAAATTCACACAGAAGAAGCAAACAGTCTACACTCAATAAGAGTCAGAGAAGAGTGAACTAAAAAATAAGGTATCGTGGATCGACTAATACCACCTGATTAACAACAACACTACATCCTGTCTGGAACACTAGCGGAAAGTTAAATTGAATGAATTAATTCTAGATAAAAAATATACCAAAGATATTGATCCTAACAAGGCGATTTTTAATTTTAGTAATGTTATACATGGCGAACCTTGTAAAAAAAAAAGAAAAAGCTTTATTTAAAGGCATTTAATTGCCTCTCCCTAAGCTAAATTACTTTGATTACCCGTTCCCCTTTGAGGGTTCTTATAAAACCTTGAAATCATCCTATTTTCAACAGAAACTAGTCCCAGATCAAAGAGGGCTTTGTAAAAACCGGTTCCATCATCACTCACGAAGAATAATAAAAAAAATGTCGTCATCCGACCTGAAAGTGTACTGGTGTTATCCATAGTAAGTGTAATATATTCTTAACGAAAAATATTCAAAGGACTTAATGCTGACTGGTTTAAGCTCATCACAGGAAGTGAAGAAGAAAAAAAAAGTTAAAAAATTTCCAGCATTTCTGAAAATGTTCTTAATATTTACCTATCAGAGCTCAAGTATTTTGATAAAAGAGTTAGAAAAAAGGATCACATATAAAATATAATAAACTTAAAATAAGACCCAAAACTCGAGCACTTTCGAATAGTTGATTCTTCTTCTTCAGGAGATCAAACATATACAGGCATTCATACTAGTTTGAATAGTTTTATTCCGAACTCCTTTAAAAGTAGCTACATGCCCAGTCTTCTAAACAGAGCATATAACATCTGTTTTGACTACCTCTCTCTTCATACCGAAATAACCACATTATAGAATATTCTAATAAACAACAGTTACCCCCTAACACGCAAATTGTTTTATCACAAAATATATATATATATATATATATATATATT